TGGGCGGGCGGCCGCTTTGACCCCCCCCCTCCCCAGGCCGGCTTTCCCCCATTGGCCGCCCGCGGCCATATCACAACGGTGCCCGGGGGAAGGCTGTGATGTTAATTGCAGCCCGCGGGATTAAACGCGGCTATTTTATGTAAATCTGCCCCCAAATGTTTGCACCTCTATCAAAGCCGCCGGGGCCGGGGCTCCGGCAGCCGCGGAGGAAATGGCCCATCTCGGCAACAGCCCTTATAACCTGCGTGCGGCACCTCCCGCAGCCCTCATTAACGGGGACACCGACGCCCGCGGTTTGCGACGACAACCCCTGCTGGAAAATTCAACCAAAAAAAGCTGAAACCGCTCCGTCGGGCAGCTGACCAGAAGCCTGGCGCAGTAAGGGCACACACACACATACATACACACACACACACACACACACAGCCTCCCCCGCCGTCACATCTTCAACTTTTAGCCGTCGCAAGAGCCCACCCGTGGGAAAAGGCGCGGGTTCAGGAGTGGTGGCGCTTCTGCAAGAAGTGACAGTGGCGGTTTGCGACGACAACCCCTGCTGGAAAATTCAACCAAAAAAAGCTGAAACCGCTCCGTCGGGCAGCTGACCAGAAGCCTGGCGCAGTAAGGGCACACACACACATACATACACACACACACACACACACACAGCCTCCCCCGCCGTCACATCTTCAACTTTTAGCCGTCGCAAGAGCCCACCCGTGGGAAAAGGCGCGGGGTTTGCCTCCCACCGCCGAGACAGGCAGCGCCTTCCCAGCCGAGATGCTCCACCGCGGGGGTTTCGAGCCATCCCATCTAAATACATCTAAAAGCAAAGCTAAAAATCACATCGATGGTTACGAGCCATCCCACCTAAATCCAAAAAAAAAAAGCCAAAAAAACAACTTCTAGAAATCAGATCGGTAGCTCAAGGCTTCGTTTCGCCTTAATAAAGAGAAACCCCCGCGAGTTTCTAGGGGCGAGAGTGGAGCCTGCCCTTCACGGGTGAAACTTTGCGACGGGCTGAATTTCTTTTCAAGTTGTTTGGCTGCAAAGCCAGAGATGGGCCGAGGGAGAGGAGGGTTGTTTTGAAACGCTCCCGCCCGCCGGTGTTTTAATAGTTTGCATTCTCCGGGGCTGCGGCGGGCTGGGGTGTGAGGGAAACACTTTATTACCTTTCCGTGAGAATCCCTGGATAGAGGGCGAGGGGGAGAGAGGTGACAATGAGCAGGAAATAGTTCAATGGGGTCTCTTTAAACAATAACAAGTTCTTTAAACGGGAGCAAAGGAGAGGGGGAAAAGAAGCGGCGCGGTGTAAAAATGAGGGTTTCTTTTAAAATGGGCATCTCCCCTCTCTCCCAACACCGCGCATCATCGCTGCCGGGGTTTTTAAGATTTTTTAGGAGAAAGTGCCCGGGGTACAGGGACAAGCAGTCTGGGAGCAGAAGGAGCTGGAAGTCAGGGCTTCCAGGGGGAAGGCAGGATGGGGGGGTCCCTGCTGCGGGATGCAGGCGGCGGTTCAGTGCGGGCAGCGGCTCTTTCTGCGGGCAGGCACCCCCTGCCTGCACCCCTGCCTGCACCCCCTGCCTGCATCCCTGCCTCCATCCCTGCCTGCACCCCCTGCCTGCCCCCCCCACTCCTTTCCATGCCCCGCACACAGCGGAGCAGCAGCCTGAGCGGCTCTGCCTCCCTCCAACTTCAAATAGACCCAACCCTTCCGCTACTATTTTCGGTTTCTTTTTGGTTTAGGAGCTACGATTTACAGCTGCGTTGTCATTACACAGCACCGCCGGGTTCATACATCCCTAACCTGCTCAACTCCGCGGAGCAGTTGTTGGTTTGGTTGGGTTTTTTTTCCCTTCAACCTGACCTGTTAAATCCCGCCCGCCAGCTCTCTGCACCCACTGTCCAGAAACAGGCGAAAAATTGTCATCCCTTCAGATCCATTCCTGCGTTAAAGTTTCTTAAAGTTCATCCTGCCTGAGCATCTACCGCCCGTTTTTTGTCCTCTTCAGAAGGGCAAAGTAGCATTTACAAAGAGATTATGGGCGAAGCTGACTACATTGATACGTAGTCGCTGCAATAGATAGTTCGAGATGGTCTTTTCACTGTCGGTTGGTTATTTATTTCACTTAAGGTGCTCCACTCCAAGCAAACACGCAGGTCCCAGCAAAAGCCAGGAGCGTTGAAACCCGGAGGGACTTCGAGAGGCTGTCCCTCCGCCGGGGGGGCACCACCACCTTACTCTGGGGTTGTACTTTGAGGGCGACATTTCAAATATCTTCATCATGAAAAAAAACCGAGCACCGGGAGTAGTTAACCCCGGAGAAGGACTCGCTCGGATAGTTCACTCCGTGCAGGTGAAAGAGAGAGAAGGGACATTTCCCCGCCCTGCAGAAGTCGCGTCCCTTTTAGGGTACGGTCTGGGGGGCGGGGGGCGAGAATGGTGTGGGGCTGAGGGGTCCCGTACGGGACAAACTCGTCTCAGTTCTTCTTCAACTCGCTCTCACCTGACAATGAACGTGCTGAGGAACCGGCAGCGGCAGAACCAGCTGGAATTGAAAGCGACCGGCGAGAAATAAACTGTTCTGAAAATGAATAAAGGAAATAAATGGGCGACCCGAGCTTTAAAAACACTATTGTAATCCTTCAGGATGGATGCTGCAAGGAAGGGCTAATTCCTAATACATATATATATATACACACACACAAGGAATGGGAAGCACCTCAATGAACCCCCCCCGGCAGCAGACATATATGACAACACACCACTACTACACTTTGCATTGATCGCTCTCTTTAGGCAAAGGGAGGAGGGTTGAAGTTGAATTTCATTTGATATATCTCACGTTTTACTTCATATTTAGCAAATGACCGCGCCGCTAATCCCAGACAAATATGTATGCAAATGTATGCACTTCAATTTAGTTGGTCTTTCAAAAGAGAAGTCTATTCAGCTTTATATTTTTAAATGACCGTTTTTAAAGTTTCCAGAAGTTATACATAATCTTTAGAACGGGAAAAAAAAACAAAAACATCCAAACCCTAAAGTTTTTCCTCTGCTTAGATTCCTGCCTTCTTTATTTCCCTCTCTCTCTTTCTGATCTTAATTGCACTTCGGTTCTCAGGAGCGGGGACTCCCCACTCTCATAGCCTTTTCACCGGGAGCTGCCGTGCATGACAGTTTACAGCCAAAAAACTTCCTCCAGCCCAACAGCTATAAAGATTCCCCATTTATAGCAATACTTTCCTTCTGGCGTGGGGCGAGGAGTAGCCTCCAGCTGTTACCTCGGCTTCGACAGACCTGTCCATCGTTCCCTACCTTATTCCCCCGGGACAACGCGAATCCCCAGGCACCTTCCCAAAGGGAATTAGCCCCCCCTCCCTCGCCCCGTCCCCTCCCGCAGCTCTCGGGTACCCGCTGATCCCTGTGCAGCTTTAATCGCCCGGGGATGCCGTGCCAAAATGAGAGCGTGGTGAGGTATTGGAGGTATTTGTTTAATTATCTTTAAACTTGCAGTTCGGACACACACACACACACGCAATTAAAGCCGCCCTTGGTGCTGGAGGAGCGTCCCCGCAGCACCCCCTCCGCCGCCCAGCTGCCCCGGCACCCTCCCCACCCGGGCACGGAACCCACCTCCCGGAGATCAAAACCTCCCACCCCTGAAGAATAAACACCTACTTTCCCATGACCCGCTTGGGGTTTCTTTTTTTTTTTTTTTTTTTTTTTTTTTTTTTTTTTTTTTTTTTTTTTTTTTTTTTTTTTTTTCCCCTCTAAGAAAAATGACTACATTTAATAGGATATCTATGTATATCTCTATCTCTATTTGTCGGCTGCTTTTTTCCCGGATACTGGCGAGGAACTTCCTGCTGATCCTGCCTTTGAGGTAGTGACTGAGGGAGTAAATTCCATTTTCATAAGAAGCTTCTGGATGTCATTTTAATCTGGCATATAGTTTTCCTGATATACAAGGCTTAAATAAGAAAAAGCCTAAAGATCGTTCTGGGACAGCTCTTATGAAGAGCTCACCACCTTGTAACCCTAATGTACCAGCATATACTACAGCGGACATGAAAACTTGTGAAAACATACAGTGGTTTTATCCATTTTAAGTTTCTATATTGTGAGAGCTAAACCTTTGGAAGACTCATGTTTCAGGTCCTCGACTTTTAGTATTTAAGAAACGGGACTGGCATTCTCCAGAGGTTTTAATGTACACACATTTTGAAAAATATTTGCTTTTCAAGTAGTCTGAACCCTGCACAACATGTTGATTTTGGTTTGTTTTGCTTTCCCCCTTCAGCATTTGGGAGGGCAAGGCAAAGGCAGAGTGCCATCCTGCATTTTTAGAAGGTGGCAAAACTCCCGTTGACTTAGTCAGATCTTTGCTTGAGTACTGCTAAGTACCCTCTCCGTCTCAAATGCTCAGATCCTGAGGTTTCCTTCATGAAAGTCAATGATCAAACTTCCAATGGCTTCAGCGCCTGCTGCACTAGACAGCACCAACTGGGGAAAAACAACAAAATAAGCTGAAGCTCTCATGAAAGCCCTTAAGGAAGAGTCTGTCTCCAAGACGGATGAAATCAGCAAACCTCAGAGCAGAGTACTTTTGATTCAAACTCAAAATTTTGAGCTAGAATATCCTTTTCAGTATCTTAATGACATTGCTCTAAAGACTAGAGCTATTTTAACCAAGTTATCCTGAGTGAGCTAGTGGGAAAAAGTAGATGGCACAAATAAGAGCCATTCGCTACTCTTCTTTAAAAACTGTAAAGAGGGACAGGCACAATGAACTACTGGGGCTGCAAAGACAAATAGTAGGATAATACATACTGTTTGCTGCTTTATCCTGGCCTAAAGGATTATCTTAAAAAAACA